GCCCTGCGGGGGGGGGGCGGTGGGGGGATGCGATTCCCCCTCCCCAACCCCCTCTTCGAGGGGCTGAAGTCTCTTTTCTGCAACGCCGTCAATTTTCTGTCCCCGGAGAGCGATGTTTTGGTGGCAGGGCTGGGTGGAGGCAGCTGGGGCTTCCTGCCCTTCTTTCGGCTCAGCGGGAAAGCCCCCGCTCAGTCCTAAATCAAACCTGGAGCTAATTATTTGGAGACCGAAGAGCGTGGGAGCAGGTCAGCTGAATTCCCCTGCAGGCAAGACAACTTCCCGAAGCCTCTCACGGCCTTGTGTTTCCACACCCCCGGAGCCCAGCAGCCAGCACCCCGGCGCTGAGCTGGGGTGGTCGGTCACAACATTTCGATGCGAAGACTGACCCTGTGTGGCAATTAATAGCCAGAAAGTTCAATGCTGTGACGAGCCGGAGGGTGCGGTGGCAGCTGACAGCTCCGCATGGGCAGAGTTAAGGGTAACACGTCTTGGGTGCTGCCAGCTGTGGGTTGAAGCTACCACAGCTGTCCCCTGCCACCAGTGGGGATGCTCCAAGGGACGCCCCGGGGTCTGAGCCCACCATGCCCCCTCTCCCCCCAGGCTCTGCAGCTGGGGACGGTGCTGGTGGGATCCCCTACACAGGACGGGACCATCTCCATCCTCACCACCTCGGTGGAGGCGGACGAGCCCCACAGGGTGCAGTTCCCGGCTCCCCGCCAAGGCAGCCCTCTGAGCCCGGGACAGCCTCGCTGGGCCAACTACGTCAAAGGTGTCATCCAGCACTACCGGGGTAAGGCACAGGCTGCTGGACGGGTTAGAGCCCCCCTCATGCGGGGCCGATGCTTGGCACCAGGCTTTTGGTGTGCTTTGGTGTGCTTTTGGTGTGCTCTTCCACTGCTGGTGCCATCCCGCAGCGGCTGCTGGGACCAGGTTCCTGCAGAGATGCTTTCAGTTCCAGAGACCCCTGGGTTTGCAGGGGGGGTGCCCGGGTCACGCTCTGCCATGGATAACCCTGGGTGTTAAAATGGGATATCGGACAGGAGCTCCTCTGTTGGGAGCCAGTTCCCCATGAGCTGTGGGCCACGGCAGCCCCCAGCCCTGCAGGGGCTCACAGTCCCCCTCCTCCCTCCTGTTCCCACAGGTGGTCCCGTGCCGGGCTTCAGTGCCGTGATAGCCAGTGACATCCCCCTGGGCGGGGGCCTCTCCAGCTCGGCCTCTCTGGAGGTGGCTACTTACACCTTCCTCCAGCAGCTCTGCCCTGGTAAGGCAGTTCTGGCCCCTGGTGCCTCCGTTCCCGGGTGGGAGCTGGGATGAGGGGGGTGCCCTTAGCAAGATTCCGCAGCCCTCGGGGAAACACCGCTGTGGGGTGGGTCACAACCCCTCGCCGCAGCCGGAGCTGGCACTGCTGTGGCTGTGGGGCTCCTCCAGCTCACCCAGCCTGACCTGCCCATGCCTCTAAAGCCCATGGACCATCCCTGGGCCTGGCAGGAGAGGTGAGAAGATGTTCCCTTGGGAGCATCTTCTCCCCACCTTCATGTCCCCAAAAATGGAGAGATCTGAGACACCAGTGTCAAATTATCGCATCCAGCTGGAACCAGGGACGCACGCTGGCACGGGTGCCATGCAGTGGTGCAGGAGCAGCACTTGCAGCTGATGCTTTAACAAAACCCCATTCTATGGGAAGGCAACCCTTTGCCTTCGTGTTTGGTCCCCCTGCTCCATGGTAAGGGGCAAAGGTCCCAGAGCTGCTAACCTGCATCTCTCTCTGCTTCGGCACAGATGACGGTGATTTGGTAGCCAAGGCGCTGGCGTGCCAGAAAGCGGAGCACACATTTGCCAGCATGCCCTGTGGGATCATGGACCAGTTCGTATCCGTGATGGGCAAGGAAGGCCACGCGCTGCTCATTGACTGCAGGTCAGGGCCGAGCACTGAGCTCGCTGCGCCGTGCCCACCTCCTCGGGCAGGTGGGGATGAGCTGGTCCCGTGGCCATGAAATAAATGCAGGAGTGTAGGGAGGGGTTAACCCCTCAACCCAGCCCAAAATCGCACTGTGGGGCTGGGGGTCCCTGCATTTTAATTCCTGTGTCTTGATTCCTCTTCCTGCGTCCTTTCTGCTGCTTGCCTGGGCTGTATTCCCTGCCAAGTCGTTAGGGTCCATTATGGGACTAATAATTGGGAGTGAAATGCTCGAGTGAAATCCTAAACTACATGGACTTTGCCTCTGCGGAGGCAGGAGCTGCCTGACACGTCACTCGCATGGCCGAGGGCTGGAGCAGGCAGGAGGGACGGGCACACTGCCTGCTCTGAGCTCTTGCTGCAGGTCCCTGGAGACCGTCCTCGTCCCACTGACTGATGCCACCTTGGCCGTCCTCATCACCAACTCCAACGTACGGCACACGCTGACGGGCAGTGAGTACCCCACACGCCGACGGCAGTGCGAGGAGGCGGCGGCGGCGCTCGGCAAGGCCAGCCTGCGAGATGCCACCATGGCTGAGCTGGAAGGTGGGGACAGTCCCTCCCTGGGCTCTGGCTGCTCCTCGGGACAGCAGGAGCTCAGTGCCCCACGGCATGGGCTGAGACTACTGGGCAGCACCCAGGGTGGATGGGTGGATGCATGCACTGGGACAGGAGCATGCCACGACCGGAGAAGCGGGGAGGCAGGATGTGGCAGGGGGACTGAAACCACGTAAAACCCTTCTCACAGACTTGCTGCTCGGAGTGCAGAGTAGCTCCTGGATGAACATTGGACAGGAGCATGCCACGACCGGAGAAGCGGGGAGGCAGGATGTGGCGGTGCTCACCCCCAGCAGCATCCCGCCGACCTGAGCGGCTTCGCTGCAAGGATGTGCGTATCTCTGCAGCGGCCAGGAGCCAGCTGGGCGAGGAGGTGTACCGGCGGGCCAGGCACGTCATCGGCGAGATAGCACGGACAGTCCAGGCAGCTCAAGCGCTGCAAGACAGGGACTACAAGACGTTTGGGAGGCTGATGGTGGAGAGTCACAACTCCCTCAGGTGAGGATGGACCACCCCCCCTGGCAGGGCATGCTGCGCCGGGGGCACTGACGTCAGGTCCTCGTGGGGTTCCCTTGCCTGTGGGTGCAGCACCGGCGGCAGCCAGAGCCGTGTCCTGCCTGGTGCCTCTCACAGCTCAGCCTGCCGGGGAGTTTTAGGAAAAGCCCCACAGCCTTCTGCACTGGAGGATGCTGGGATGAGGCCACCCGTCACATACATTACAGAGGCGTGCTGCTCACAGCAGCGCCCAGTGGGTTCCTGATGCTCACAGCCTCGCTCGTGTGTACGTGCACTTATAGGCAGAGAGCTGGACCGGGGTCTGTGGCATCCTGCATTGCTGCAGTTTGCTACGGCAATGGGTGCACCAAGACACGTTTCAGCCATTCGGGGTGCAAGGGCTATGGCTGGGGTGTAGGACAGGGCTGATCGTGGGTCCCCTCTCTCCAGGGATGACTATGAAGTGAGCTGCCCGGAGCTGGACAAGCTGGTAGCAGCAGCTCTGGAGGTTGATGGGGTTTATGGCAGCAGGATGACAGGGGGAGGCTTCGGAGGCTGCACGGTGACGTTGCTGGAGGCCGGGGCTGCAGAGAGAGCCCAGCACCACATCCAGGTACGTGTCAGAAAAGTGCTGGGAGATTGACTTAAACATCCCAAGGAAACACTGAGGGGTATGACCTGGGGATGCTGTTAAAGCTGCGCTTCTGAGGCACTTGAGGTTGGTGTAGCCCATCCAGTGGCGCACAGGGATAGCCCCGAGTCTGTTGATGCTAAGCTCGTGCAGGCGGTTCGGCACTGTGCTGGTCGCATGGCACGGCCCAAGGACCTCACTGCATTGAGAAGGTGAGCGAAGAGGTGCTGGGTGAGCTTTGGGAAAGCTAAATCTGTCTAGGGAAAAGTAATCTGAGCTGAGCTTGGGCAATGCTGAGCTTAACACCGGCAGTTACAGCCCAGAAAAGATCTCAGTGCTGTCACCAGTGTCCTCTAAATCAGCAGCTCAGCCTGAACTGGTAGCTGGAAATGCCAGCAAAATGGGGGTGTCAGGAGATGGGGGCAGCGAATGAGGCAGAGCCTCGGTTTCCTGCTGTATAAGATCACGGTGCCCCCTGTAAATAGTGTGGGGGATGAAGAAGGGGCAGAGGGAGGTGTCTGAAATGAGGAGAGACCGAAAAGGCTGTGCCTCTGCTGTCTGATGAGAAGCTGAGAGAGAGGGAATGTGACCGGGAGTTACAAAACAACAAAGAGGGTAGATAGTGCGAGTGTGGAACTGACCCTCAAATCCTCCAAAATAAGAACCAGCGACCACTGGGTGAGTTAGGAGGAAAACAGAGCCAAGGAGGCACTGCACAGAGCTGGCGGTGAGGTTTCTGCTGTTGCCAGAGGCCGTGGAGGTTGGCAGCATCAGCAGGGTCAGAAAGGGGTTGGAAAAAGTCACAGCGAGCAGTCCCTAAGGGGCTGCTGGAGGGTCAGCTTGGGGATGTGTTGGTAGCCTCCCAGCATCCCTGCTGCGGATGGACCAAGGCACCCCAGACAGTAGCCAGAACAGCACACCGTCCCCAAAAAAACATCTTGAGAGGCAGCTGGGCCAGATGCATGGCTGGGCTGACCAGCAGGGCCTCTCTCCTCCCAGCTCTGGCAGAACTTACCTGCACCAGCCCGAAAGCATCCACCAGCCCAGGCTCTTGGTGCAGCGTGGTACGGCCACGGAGCACCAGCGCTTACTGCTCCTCTTGTCTCCTAGGAGAAATACAGCGGCACAGCCACCTTCTACCTCACCAAACCCTCCGGAGGGGCAAAGGTGCTGCTCCTGTAGAGGAGCGACCATCTCTCCTGGGCTGGGATCGCCTCCCTTTGAGAAGACACTGTTTTCCTCACTTCACAAGGGAATCAATTTGTCTGCCTGCATCTTTTGCCTAATAAATGCAAAATATTTGCACAGTCGTTCTGCACCTGCCTGAGCCGAGATCTAATGCCAAATTCACCGGGGACCTTTCCCCAGATGAGACTGGTTTAACTCCAGTTTGCACTGGTGTAACCAACCGTTACCGGGGACATGTGGTCCAGTAACGCCTCTGGAGCTGCAGTCGCAGGAGGGGATGGTGGCGGAGCAGCAGCAGGCACCGATGCTTGGCAGAAGCCCCTGCTTGGGTATCTGCTCTGACAAGCATCCTTCATCTGCTGCTGCAGATGGAGGGGAGATGATTTTTTTTTTAAATTATATTTTTTTTTTTTTTTTAAGAAAAGGGAAGAGGCAGACTGTAGAGAAAACATTTATTGAGTGCAATAGGAAGCCATCTGATCGAAGACCCGCTGTCAGAGCAGGCTGCTGGATCCAGCTTGGAAAGGCTGAAATGGCACCAGCACTAACGCCCAGGTGAAAATGAAGAAGCGATGCTGTTCTAGAGCGAGGCATTGGGTAGGTGCGCGTGGGGATGGCGTGACACCCTGGAGAGCAGCAGCTGTGCTCTCCTCTTGGATAACAGGATCATCTTTGGCCAAAATGCTTGGAAGCGGGACTGCCTTTTTAGGCGATTTTCAGTGGTTTACCCTGGACCACAAAGCACAGGGAAAGGGTCCCGGAGTCCTTGTGCAGGAGGAGACACGTCAGCTGGAGAGGAAACCCCCACCGCAAAGGTGAGATGGGAACAGGGCAGGCAGGCTAATGCCACAGGTACTTGCTCAGGAAAAATAAGTGCTTCTTGAAGACATGGTAAAACCACAGGGTTGGGTCAAGAGATACTTCAAGTTCAAAACTGACCTAGCTCCAGCTGCAGTCTTGGGGACTCCTGGGGACTTTACTCACCCATGTGCATCTTTGGCTTAAACATGTACAACCCCCCCAACTCAAATGAACAGCCCGGAGAGGAGAGGCAGCTCTCGATGGTGTCAGTGCTGGAAAAAAAATCTTCTTCCAAGTCAAAAAAGCCCCAAAAACCAACCAAACAAAAAACCCCACACAACAATAACAAAGGAACAAAACAGCCAAGGTCCAGCATCGGATGAAATCAGGCAGGCGATGCTGCCAGGGAGACCACGCAACTGCTGTTTTGGTTGGAAGCTCTAATCCAGAGCGGTGGCAGCTGCTGTTTTGGGCAGGATCCTGGCTTTTGGCAGGCTCCTCGCCTGCTCCTGTGCAGCTGAAGCACGCCAGGGAACCACGCTGTTCGGCAAGACACGGATCCCAGTTGTTCCCGATGGCAGAGGGGTGCCAGGGATCGTGCCCAGAGCCAGGAAACGAGGCCCAGCCAGGTCTTATAGCTCAGCCCAGCACCGTCCAAGGACAGCTAGAACCGAGGGCTGCAGGAGGCTCAGAGGCTCTCTCGGGATGATGGGAGAACCTGCTGTTCCCTTGTGTTTACTGATGGATGACAGTTCCCTTTATGGACGTTGCTGTTGGGCAAAAGGGGCTTTTAAAAGACACCCGACATCTTGTGCCCCAAAAATCTCACGCCCTCCACATCAGCCATGTAAGAAATCCCAGGCACTGTTCCATCCCCAGGTACCACTGCCTGGGCCATCCCCATCCCTCTCCTCCAGGCACCTCCCGGCCCTTCCATGCGTGTGCTCAGCTGGTGGATGCTGTGCTGGGAGCAGGTCTGGCCGCTTGCAGCTTTCTGCTGGAGTCTCCATAGAGCCCACCAGCTCATCAACAGGCTTTCCACAGGGTTTAGCGGCCTTTGGATCAAGCCCTTAATTAATTTCTTCCAGTTATTCACATGTCTCAGCAGCCACAGTCCCAGTGTAGCCTCAATTCAGCATAGATCGCATCCACCTCAATTATTTTTTTTATAAAATAATAAAATACATTTATATATATTTATATATATACTACGAAAACTGTACAATATTGTATGCAAAAAAAAAAATGCATCAGAAGCCCTCACGAGTAACGCTATACAAATGAAAGGTTATACTTTGCTATCGTGGTACTAAATGTTAGCAGCGAAGGAGAGACACAAGTAGGTGCAGTAAGAAAGCACGGGTTACCCCAAAGCCCCACCTTGCAGCTCTCATAAAGACCCAACAGAACAAATAACCACCTCCAGTGGGCAGCCAGGTTGCCGGAGAGCCCGAAGCAAAGATGGAAACGATGACCCTCTATAAACCAGGATGTTGTCAGCTGGGATCCTCTCGAAACTGAGGACCTGAGAATAAATCATTCCGTTCCATTCATCCAGGGAGGCTGGAGCCATCGAAACACCAGAATTTCTGCAGCTGCAGGTGTATTTGGATGGGGATGGGCACTGAAGAATAGTACTGGATTGAGCTGTGATTGTTCATTGAAGATGTCCCTGTGGACCCTGCAGAACTGAGTCTCTGGAGAGCAGGACAGGGTGAACAAGCCCTGAAGGATGAGCACACACCTGATGACCCAACTGTGCCAGAGCTTCGAGTGCGCTGGGCTCCAAAGGAGACGTCCAGAGCTTGAAGTGCCATGGAGGAGTGCCCACAGGAGACGCTGCCCAGGCACCACAGCAGCAACTGGATGAAGCACCCTTGGATCCTTCCACAAAGTCCTGCCACCTGAACAGCGGCATCCTGCTGGCAGGCAGCCTGCCCTGGCTCAGGCCTCGTAGAACTGCCTCTCCATCTGTTTGGTGAGGGTCCCGCTGGACATCACTGTCCGGCTCACAAACTCTTTGGTGACCTGTTTGGTGAGGGTGCTGCTGGCGCTCTCCACTCTCTGGGTCGTCATCAGCATGCCGTCTGCAGCGAGAGGAGCAGTAGTCAGGACACCGCGCTAAGTACGGGGTCACAGGGAATAGGATCTGCTCTACCTGATGATTCCTGGCAGAGGTGTCTCCTTAAATACCACTTTCACTGATGGAAAACCTCTCCAGATCAAGCAATTCAGTACTGTGCTACGCCAGCAATAAGATGGATTTCCTACCAGCTCCCAAACTCTTCCTATTGCAGTGTGAACCCGTGAGCCCTTGAACTCAAGGGGGACAACATGGGACAACTGCAGTGATGTAATTGTATACGGTCATCACACTTCTGTGTTTTTTCCAGCTCTGAAGAGATCTAACGTTGCAGGAAGAGTTATGGTTTTGTCCCTAGTGATAGTCCTTTGAAAACTCAGCATTCCCTCTGTGACTGGGCAGCACATGGGGAAACGACTGCAACTGCCTCTAGGGCAGAGCAGGGACATGGTGTAGGAAAGGGTCTGGTCTTCTTCATCCATCCCCCCTGATGGACCCTCCCTCCCTTTGCCACTTGAGGTAAAAGCACCCTCAGACCTTTGGAAAAGCAGAGTTACCCTTTGCTTTCCAAGGGTTTCAAAGCAGACAGCGAGCACCTACCTGTGAAGTGGGGATCCAGGGAGGAATGGCTGATGCTGGTTTTGGTGGTGTATTCGGTGGGGAAGTTATACACTTCTTCTCTCATGTACTGCTGTCCTCCAAACTGGGAGAAAGTGCCTGGAGGGAAGAAAAAGGGACAGGTCAGCCAGGAAACAACAAGGAGCTTCCAACCCCTCAACCCTGCACAGTGAGCACCAACAGTCAGCTCAGGAGGTTTCTCTTGCTGACATCAGAGCAAGGTTTAGAAGGAACTGGGAGGACTGGGAAGGTCTTACACTTGTGCAGTGTAAGAAGCTGCCACCAGGTATGTGTACAGCCAGGCAATAAGGCAGAAATTTCATGATAAATTGAACACTGGCAAGTTCTCACGATCCTCCCTCATTCAGTGCATCAGGATTGGGACAGTGGTCACTAGGCACAGCATTGTCTTCGTGGAAGACAACTTCTCCATGATTTTCATGGAAAATGGAGTCACCACCAGAGCTGGAAAGGGATTCCAGGAGTTGCATTCCCTGCTCTGAGACATTTCTTATCTTTCCACCTCCACAAAGCCATGGTACTGTACCTCCATCCTGAGATTCGATGGTGATGATGCCTTCTCTCTCTGGCCCAAAGCCTTGGGTGGTCTTGGCTTGCACTTTGAACTTGTACGGAACGTTCTCACTCAGGTGGGGCACAGTAAGGGTAGTTTCTGGATTGTCTCCTTCCACATAGATATTCCTAGGCTCCCCTAATTCACACAGAGATACCAGTGGTGAAGACAGACAGGAGTGATGGTCCCTCCAAACGCACTCCCTCCAACTCTGGCTGGTGTCTTGGCTTTCCCTAAGCTTTATGCCACCCACAGACTATACAATCACACCCCCCAGTTCTACTAAGCGTTGAGACATCCCTATTTTAGTACAGTGTTGATCCTCAACAAACAACCTCCACTGGGTTTGGGCTGTAGTAAGCTACAGGACATTCCTCTTCCCACCATGTTTGTTACACCAGGCCACACAATGAAATAAATCATCGGGGTTCAGCAAATTCAGCAGCTCCCAGGCCTGGAATCAGCCTCATGTCCCCAGTTTGACTGCACCGATGTTAGCAGACAACTTTGTTGTTGGTCCCAGCAAAAATGCAGCAAGTTGCTGCCTTTGCTGGAGGTATCCTGTGCTCTACACAGGGAACCAGTCCTTCCACAGGCTGATACCATACCTCCTCCATGCAGCATCTCGCAGGTGACCATGTAGCCCAAAATGGACCCATTGGGTTTGCGGGGTCTCTCCCAGCTGAGCTGCAGGGAGTCAGGGCTGAGGGCAGTGAAAACCAGCGGTCCGGGAGCACTGGGTGTGCTCAGTGTGAAGGGTGAACCTGCAGGGACATGAGCGAGAGGTCAGTATCACAGAAGGTGGTGAGGAGGAGGGGTCTGCACGCAGCATTTGTGAAACGAGCTGGAAGGTCTCAGCTATCTAGACAGCTAGTGGAAGGTGAGTGCATTGGGGAGAAGGTCCTATTTCAAAATGAAAGAAAGGAGTGCTCAGGATGTAGTAAGGAGTGAGAAAACAGCAAGACCACCACTGCAGACAGCAGCAGAGACATCAGTGCCACCTTTCCCCTTTCACCCATCCACCTCACCTGGTACAGGGCTGAGTGGGCTTTGTGGGTCCACCTGTGACTCTATGGTGATGACTCCTTCTCTCTCAGGGCCCCAGCCTTCCTCACTCTGTGCTTTCACCTTGAAGATGTAGGAGTGGTTGGGCAGCAGGTCCTCCACCACCACCGAGTTCTGGCAGGGGTTGGGAATGGTGAGCCGGTGCACCTCTCCTGGGACGCACAGGGAAGGGGGACATCAGCACCATGTTGCAGGCACGAAGACAGTACCATGGCTTTCACCTAAACTACCTCAAATGAATGGCCTGGAAAAGTCATCCAGGGGCCCTTCCCCAGTCATATCCATCACACCTTGCCACCAACAACTGCTAGTACAGGACGAGATGTTGTTGAAAAAAGGCTTGGGGCAAACAACAGCTTCTTGAAAACTCAGGAATTTTCAGCCAAAGAGAATTACATTTTCACTAACACTGCCCAACTTTCATATAAAAATAAGATATTTTCATTCTAATCCTTCCTCCAAGTCCAACTTGATGAAAAAGCCTTCAACTAAGATCTTGGGGCCGGTGAAGGAGGAGTCCAAGGGTTTTTTGGAGGAGGGGTGGCTCCACAAGCAACCCCAGGAATTGTCCCCCCAGCAGAAATGGGGAATGGGAGCTGTGTGGTAGCTGAGACATTTCCTCAAGGCTGCACAAAAAGCAGAGTTGGGACCAGTCCCCGAATCCCAGAATGGTAGAGGTTGGAAGGGACCTCTGGAGGTCATTTGATCCAACATCGTCTGCTCAAGCAGAGTCAACCCAGAGTCAGTTGCCCAAGAGAAGACTTGGGCCACACTTTCCGTGACCAGAAACTCCCACCAGCAACTGCCCAGTGGCCATCTGCCATCTGTTCACTGACCTCCATTGAGGAGCTGGTACTGCACGCTGTAGCCTTGCACCTCCTTCTCGCAGTGTGGCTCCTGCCAGCTCACCTTCAGGGAGGTGGGTCCGAGGGCAGAGAATACCAGGCGTGTGGGGGTGTCGGGGATGCCCAGCGGCAGCCTGGAGTCTGGGACAAAAAGGGAATGTCAGGGTGGAGATTTGGAGGCTGTGGGCTAAGGGGGGGCTGGGAGAGAGGAGGGAGTGGCCCGTGCAAGCATGGGATGGTCCTGATGGTCCAGGGAGAACGTGGCGAGATGTCATCTCTGCAAGCTAGCCCATCACACAAGGGGGGACTGGCTAGCTCTGCACACCTACAGTGGCATCCCATGGCCTTGGGGTACCAATCTTGGGTGGGAGAAGTCAAGGTAAGCTTTGTGCCCCTGTGGTAGAGAGACCAAAGCAAGGGCTGGGGTGCTGTGCGTGTCTCTCCTTGTTGATCCTGAAGCACCCTGTCCAGTCTGCCAGAAGCTTCACAGACATCTTCAGATGTTGCGCAGTTAAGACTGGCCCTAGTCTATAGCTAAAGCAATGCAACACCTCCAGGTACTGTTCAAGGGGATGGAGGCAGCTGGGACCAGGACTGGGTGCTCTCATTTACCCCCAACTGAGCTCACTGGGACACAAAGCTCATGAAGAGCACAGCAGCCTCCCAGGTGACACTCAGGGACTGAAGCCCCTCATTGACATGGGCTTTGGCCAAGCCATTGGCAAGCTCGCAGAGGGACATCTCGTCTGGAGCACACGTTCTTCCCAAGAGTCCTCCAAAGGCCTTTGTGGTAAGACTGAGAACAACAAGCTTGTTAGGAATGAAGAGGATGGGGTCAATGAGCTGATCAGCCCGTTAGAGCACAGTGGCAGCAGTGGTGAGTGTTAATCAGCCCAGGTGGGTTGAAACACAGCTGAAGTTACCTGCAAATGGAAAGGTGGTGTGATGGAGGCACAGTTCGGGTCAAAAGGAAGACCGATGTGGCACACAGCAAGCCATGGAGAGAGGGTTTAGGGGGAGTAGTGGATGGCAACAGCTCATGGATGGCTGGTGGCTTGGCTGTTATGGTATGCGTGACTGGGAGAAGACACTGGACAAAGCTGTACCTATGTACTTGCAAATCCCTGCAGACCCATCAGTCATGATTATAGAGTCCCGAAAGCCAGTGCTGGGGTAGTAACCCTTCACCTTTGCCCTGCTCCTGAAACCCACATCCCGGGGCCATGGGATTGTCCTCCCAGCATCTTCATGGATGGGAGGGAGGAATCTCCCTGGGTAATCTACAGAAGCGGTGCAAAAGAAAGAGAAAAACACCATTGGAGACTTCAGAGCAGGTTCAGCCCAGGTGCTGGCTTCCACAGAGATCACTTTTTAAGGCTTACATTTGAAGAGCCTTTTAACAACCTTCTGTCAGCACCAGCTGATGTACATGCATGGAGCTGAAAAGCAACTATGCTGCTAGATAGAGTTAGAAGACGACACATGTGCTTTTCCTGGAGTTCTTCGTGGTGTGAGGATAAGGATGTAGCTCCCTTTCCTGAGCACTCTGCATGTGAGAGGTGGGAACGCTTTCCAAAGTGGTCTGGGAGCAGGGCGGCCTTAGCAAAGCACCTACACATCAGTGGTGAGAACATGACCTTCCAGATCTCTGGTTCACAAGCCCCCTTAGCTGTGAACACAGTCCTCACTCCAGCAGGACTTGCAGGGCATGGGTCCAAAAACAGTCATGGCAGTGGAAGGGAAGGACAGGTCCCATCACCGCAGTACTCACCATGCCCCATTAACATTGTGGAGTAGTCTCTTGTCAGTGAGGAACTCCCCATCACCCTGTGCTCCTGCTGCATGTGTGAGCTCATTTGGTGGTAGCTGGTGTTTGTTGTCCTCGTCAGTGTGCCGCTGCCACTGCCGGGGAAGGAGAAGTCCACCCGGCCATTCAGCAAGTGCTCTGTGAAAGAGGACACATCATGAGGAACATGACTGTGGACAGGGCTGTTGCTCCAGTTTCCATGGGGAGGAAGCAGGAGGCATCATGGTGGGCCCTGCCTTAGCTGCATCCCGGCTTCAGCCTCTGGAAGGTCAGTCTGGAGTACTACATCTAGAACAGGTCACAACCACCCAACACAATGACAGGGAAACAAACAGGTAAATGGAGACTTTGCTCTACACCCAGCACCAGAGACACCCATGGTGCCCAAGGTAACTCCAGACCTCGGCCTCGCTGGGGCACTGCCTTGTGGTTCTTGCCATGTTCTCTTACATCTCTCCTTTAACGCAAGCACAGGTTTATCATTTCAGATTAAAAAAGAAAGTGGAAGAAAAACAGCCCTTCATGGAGGTGGTTTCTCCAAATCTCTCTCTGGATCCTGTCTCAGCTGGATCTGAAAAGCAAACTCTGATTCGTTGTTCTGGTCCTTGACAAACCCCCGTCCCTTCCCAGCAGGCCAGGAGAGATCAGCTACCCATGAGAGAGTGATTTCTGTTTAACAGTCCAGCGGATCTGCCCCAGAAGCTCAGGGCGCTTAATTAAGGTGAGGAGCTGCCCTTGGAGGTGCCACTTAGCAGGTATCATCTGAGTTTGTTCCTGCCTTGAAAGTCCAGACTTTTGTAGAAGCAACTTGCTAGCAGGCTCCCAAGTCCATGCCGAGATGGGGGTTACCTTGACACTCTTGTGAGGAGACACACCAGGACAAGGTTTTGAAGCAGACTACAGCACGTGAACAGTGCATCACGCCAACATGAGGATGGGCAACACAAGGGGAGGAAGGGAACACGTACTGGGGCAGACCCCAGCCACCAGCCTCTCGGCTCAGAGCAGGACGAGACAGGACACTCAGTGCCATAACGAAGTCGTCCTTCACCTGCTTGGGGACGGGGTGTCCCACTCCTCCTCAGGCTGCCAGTAGCCATGTCACTGTCCTCCTCGTGGAGGAGACCCTCAGTGTCCGAGGAGAGGCGGCTGCTGCCAGAGAGGCGGGGAATGGTTTCAGGTGGGAGCCTCCAGGTGATGCGGCGAAGATCCAAGTCTTCTCCCAGCAACTGCACATATTTCCACCTGGAGCCTTTTGGGACAACGCAAGCACTGGTGTTGGCATGATCTGCAGGTGACAGAATGGGCTACCCGCTGCTTTTGTGCTGCTTGCTGGGGAGGGGAAGGGACAGGAGCCAGTGGGAACGACACCCGTTCACAGCCCATCTTGCCAAGTGTTGGCTGATGAGTTCAGGTGGTGCAACCATCGCGTGACTGGTAGATGGAGGATGGTGGGAATGCGACATGCATGGGGTTCCTCAACCCCATGGCTGTTTTCCATCCCTGTGTCCATCATGACAAAAGGCAAAAGTCAGTCCCACCACATGCCTGTCCCTGTCATGAAGAGTCTGCGACAATTGTCCTCTGCTCAGGAGAGGTTTCCTCACTCCTTTGTGTGCACTCAGGATGGTCAGACTCTTGGTGCTCCCATTACCTTGCACTCTGAAAGGACCAGGGACTCACTCCCGGATCCCAGGTCCTGGAGAACCCCCCCAGGGAAGACCCTCCAGGTCCTACTGACAAGTTTCATCATTTCACTTGCGGCCCACCTTCCCCTCGTTGTCCCAGTACAAGGCAAGGGAGCCAGCCTCATTGAGAGGGTGAAGTGATGGAGGAAGAGAGGCCAGTGTCTTCCCAGCACTTGGTGAGTTCCTTCCTGTTGTCTTGGCCAGGACCCTGAGCATCCAAGGGACTCAGAGGTCTGTGCCTTGCCAGCGCTTGTTTGCAGACAGTAACTCTTGTGGTCCAGCCAAATGGCAACAGGAAGGGAAGATGAGCAGCGAGGGTCATGAAAAGCTTCTCTCGTACCCCACGCTGTGATTTCTCTTTGCTTCATGGCTAAGACAAGGAGGCACTGATCTTATTTACACTATGACTAGTCAAGTGTTCCCATGGATGCAGCCGCTGTGCTTTGGAAAGGCTGATCACCAGCTCCATGACTTGGATCTCCCCATCTCCATGAGGAGGAAAGGAGCATTGAAGCTCATTGCTGAAAGCTGTTGTTAAGGAAAATAATGTTAAAAACAGCCTCTGCAAAACCCAGCGCAACATACCTGAATCATCAGAGACACTGGGACGCTTGCTGCCAGGTGGAGAGCGAAGCACATCAGCGCTGTACATCAGGTAGCTGTCGTAATCCTCACCTCCCTCTGCATCAATGATGGGGACATCAGGGATGATGGGGACTGGAGGAGAGGTGGAAAGTGCTGTTAGACAAGCAGTTCAAAACCGCACAGGCCTCTCATGCTCACTCTGGCCTTCAGCATTCACCAGGGTGGCTGGCGCAGCGGAGCAAGCAAGATGTGGAGAAGCAGCTGGGGTGACGGGGAGCACTCCCCAGCACTGCTCCTGCCCCCCCTGCTCCCCACCCAGGCAGGGCAGTAACTCACTGGACATCGGGCGCTTGGGCTGCGTAGCAAGGTTGATGGTGGCTTCTCTCTCAGGTCCCCAGCCAGCACCATTTCTGGCCTTCACCATGTAGCGATAGGGCTGGGACTCCCGCAGGTTTTCTATCAGCACCATGCGCTTCTTTGGGTCTTCAACCAGCACCTTCTTCATTGGGCCAATGGGTACTGCAAATATGGGTATGCCTATTACCCAGGAGGTCACAAGACAGAGCACCCCACCCTTGGCCAACAGGCTCGGTGAGGTTTGGTGTCAGGACACAGCCTGGCTCTGGGATGAGGTGCAGCAGCTATTTTGACTGCTCATGACAGGCATGACATTGTTTCGGGGAAATTCCCAAACTGAATGCTGAACTCAACCTACAGCAGAGGTCTCCTGTTGCTGTTCTGTCACCAAGTAGCATCTTTCTGGCACCCTAGCCCTAGGTTTATACCTAGGAACTAAGTTTTTAGGATGAAAACCAACACAAAACACTATGGAAGTGAATGGGAATGGAGAGTGCTCCGGACTTTTCAGGACTAAATCCTGAAAGGTGATTTTTCTGTACTCTTTCCATCAAGAATTGACCTCTCCAGATCCCAGTTTTCACAAGAAACGTGCTTGGAGCTGTTCTGGTTCTTCTGCTGCTTGGGACTGGCCCAGCCTGTGGAAAATGTACTCCAGCCCCTCAGCCTGGCTGGAGTGCCCAGTCAGAAAATGAGCTCTTACCATTTTCCTCATTGACGAGTCCATAACTGACTTCGTAAGCCGTGATCTCCCCATTGGTTTCTGCAGGCTCAGCCCAGCTCAACTGCGTCACGGTGGAAGACACGACATTGAAAGCCAAGCGGCCCGGCTCGCTGGGGACTGGGAAGGCAAGAGCAAAGGATCCAGGTTATCCCAAGTTGGAAACCAGCGCACACGGATGCCCAGAGTTCTGTGGATCACAGCTGGGTTGCAGTGGGAGCCACTCCATGCTTGTCCCCAAGACTGTCAGAAGCTTGGGGCTGGAGCCCTGACCCCATGCTGGGTGCACTGACACCAACTTGCTCCCACATGGTGGGAAGCAAAGTGCAGAGTTGCTCACCATCCTCAAGCGTGCGGCAGTGGATGATGTCAGAGTAAGCCCCTTCACCCATGGAGTTGTAGGCACAGACTTGCATCTCATAGTCGCAGAAGGGGTAGAGGTTACTCAGCTCTGCTGATGGTGCTTTGACATCGATGAGACGGGCTTCTGACTCAGGGTCTCCTTGGATCCAGTATTTCACCTGGCGAAGCAAGAACAAGCCATGATTCCTTCAGTTCCTCACCATAACGAGTGAGAAATTCCCCATCTCTTATTAGATCAGCTCTGGGAAAGCCAGGGTGTTGTGCCGTTTCTCTGAGGGAGGCCAGAACAGTCTGAGTATTTTATGGCAAGTGATGGAAAGGGAGATGAACCCACCCAGAATCTTTCCTGCAAATCTCACATCCACCCGGCAATGGTCTCTCAAGGATAGAGGGGACCAGAAGGGGTGACTTTGCGCCCTCCTTTGGGCATCTTCTCCCCATCCCTTTGGCACAAATGACTGTGTGTGTGAAACACCCATAATATGGGACCCACACCTTCTCCTAGGATCCGCTCACCCCTTACCTTGTACCCCAGAGGTTTTCCCGGTGGAGGAAACCAGTTGAAGCGGATTTCCCTGGAGCTGATAGCATTGGCATTGGGATTAAGTGGTGCACTCAGGTGGCCTTTGGGGGACTGGGAGACCTGGCTCAGGCCAGCCATCAAGGGGACACCATCCACCACCTCTGCAGACACAAGGAAGAAAGATCACATCAGTGCTGATCCCCCGCATGGAAAGGAAAGAAGGAAGCGTGCCTCTCTCCAGCACTGCCCTGCCATCCTGAGTGAGCCTCTCAAAGCATTTCTGAGGGGTAGATCCCCATCGTAGGGAAGGGAAACTGAGGCACTTGGTGATGACATCCCCCAAAGCCGCACAGCAGGCTGGGCTCAGAGCCACCAAATCCTGCACCTCCTGCCGCTTGATCAGTTGCCCTGTGCAGCCATGAGAGAAGACGGAGGTGGGCAGAGCCTTCTCGAGTCGCCCTGCTGCTTCTCCTGGAAAACCACCAAGTCCTGCCAAGAGCTCGCTAGAGCCTCTCCAGCCCCAGTGCCTGCCCCTGAAGCAGTTCTGGTTGTTTCAGTGACAAGGGACTTTCTTGTACCCCCAGTATTCATAACCAGTACTGTGATAAATATCTTTACATTATTGTCCCACTTGATGACAACCCTTACAGTTTTGCTTGGCCAGCCACAGGAACCACCAAGCATAGCTCATGGCAAGTCTCACCTCCCCCCTGTTTTTATAGCTTTTTATTCAATTCCCCAAGAAAAAGGAATGAAGAATCCACTCTGCTTCCTATTGTGAGGTTGATTATCCACCTTCTTCCCACCCACTGTCTGTACCCACTAACGCCTCTAGAGGGAGGCCCAAATCTACCAGTTAGAGATGGAAAACCTCCTCGTAGCCGCTCTTTGGCTGAAGAGCAGGGCTGGAGCTCCGTACGCCACCTCGGGGAGGGCAGGTCCGATATGGGGGTCCAACACCCTCTGCTGCCATTCCCCACCGCTTGGCTGCCAGCCCCTACCTGGGTCGGCGATGGTCACTGTGGTCTGGGGGTATCGGCCGATCTTGGCGCCGTACTTGGGGTGGAGGAGGTCGATGGCAAACTGCTTGAGCTGGCAGTTGTGTAGGAGGGTATCTATTTCGGTCAGCTCCAGCAAGGGGACCTGCACCTCCTTTCGGGTCTCCCCGGGCTGGAAGACCAGGTCACCCTCTGTGAAGATGTAGTCCTGAAGGAGAAGGAAGAGGTGCATGATTATAGCCCGCAGCATCCATGAGAAGGCTCCCAGAGAGCTCCCCCTCATCTCCCAGTGAATCCCCACTCGCCTCCCAGTGCCCACAGCTTGGGGGGCAGCTGGTACCCTCTGCCTCAGGTACAGGCAGCCTCTCAGGTCCCTGAGGCACAGGAAGCAAGGGTTGGAGAAGCATGTCTGCCCTTGCGCTACCCTCAAGCCCTGGCTCTCCCCTCTCCCAGCCACATCCCTCTTTGAGCCCGATCAACTGCTCTTCTGCAGCCTTGGAGTCAGTTCTTTCCCAGCCCTCCGAGCGCACTTGTTCCTGCCTGCCAAGGCCGGGAGCATCACCCTTACCCTGCCATTCCTGGCGGTGAGATCCCGGGTCCTGTAGGTGACTTGGGATTTCCCATTGTCTATGATCTCCCGGAGGACAGGGATCTTGGCCAGCTTATCAAAGCGGCTGTGGGAATAGGCTGGCTGCAAGAAGGTGATGAGGCTGCTGGCTGGAAGGGGCAGGAGAGAAGAAATACGTGAAGAATCACATTACAAACACACAGGTGTCTTCCCTTAACAGAATTCCTATCACTCATGGATGTGTATGAACTATTACTGCGTGGGATAGAGACTTTACCACTCCTGACTTGTGCCCCTGCTCAAAACAACCGGGCGGAAAGCAAAGGCAAACTGCTCGGGACATTCACCTGCCCCAAGCAAAGAGGTTTTACTTTACTTCCGCAACCTGTGAACTGGAGCAGCAGAGGCATATGGTCAACCCTGGATCTGCCATGGTATTGGTAGCATCTAAACTTGTGAGGGTCAAATGTTTGGGTCTCTGCCACCCGGGGATGATGACCCTCCTTTGGATGCTGTAAAAGATGTGCTAGTTTTGACACAGGTGAATTAAGACAGGAGTCACCAAGCAAGTTTTTGGTCTGTGATCTGGGGGAGCTCAGATACACAGGCCACGCCTTCCTTAGAAACCACCTGAGTCCATCTGGATATGGGACACAAACACAAATGCCCTTCACCTTGTTCTTTGATGATGGTGATGTTGACAAGCCTGCGCCCAATCTCTGCAATGCCGGTGGGGACATCAATGGCCTCTACCTGCAGCTGCTTCTCATCATCATCATCCTCCCTGATGAAGAGTGGGACACGGACATCCACCAGCTCCACAGCCTCTTGAAACTCCACCATCCCGTGAGCATCTGGGAGGAGGGGCAACGGTGAGAGGTGGGAAATGCCCTCCCTGCCCAGCCAGGAGGCAGCGCTGGGCTCTGCTCCCTACCTTGGTCTGAGGTCACAGTGTAATAACCCGGTGACACCTTCAGGTCATTGAAAGCCTCATGGGAAACATGCTTTTCCATCACTTTGATGATCTCTAGCTTGGCTGAGCGAGGGGCGGTGAGCACCGTGTCCACAATGGTGTGGTCCTGCCTGTGACCAGTGGGAAGAGAAAGCCCGGTAAGAGCTGAGGCCAGGGTTGCTCATCTCACGTAGCAGCTGGAGGGGCTAGTGAGTGCGTGGGGCAGTCAGTCACCCCACAGGTGTGTGTACAAAGAGGGAGAAGCAGCACAAGAGAGGGCCGCAAGTTCCTCTTACCTTTTCCCAGAATTGGGCTGTAACCTGGCGGGGAGGGGGTGAATAAAAAAAAAAAAAAAAAGACAAAAAAAAAAAAGTCAGAGTGACTAACGCATTTGGGAGACAAAGTTCTGTGTGAATCACAGCCCCGTGCAGGTCAGAGCTGCGGCAGCCGCCCTGCGGGTGCCAACCCATTCTGCAGAGCCCACGGCCCCATCACATGTTCCCTCCTGCCTGGCTGCTCCCTCCACCCCTGGGTTTCCCAATGTAACGAGGAACATGCCCACGGGGGAGATCACGTCTGGTCAGAGCCGTGGGGAGGGGATAACACTCCCTGCTCAGTGCTGGCATCCCCAGACTCCTCCATCCTGCTCTGGGCACTCCTAACTTTGCACAGGGCTACAACTTTTGAAGTCAATGGGAATTTTCCCATTGAGCAGAACGTGACCAGGATTTGTCCCCGTCTGTAAGAGTCTCGGGTCCAAAGCCAGATGCAAATGAGATCACCAGCACAGCTGGGTGGGCTCTGCTTTGCAGCCCTGGGTGGGTGAAACATGCACGGGGCTTGTGCTTGTGACAGGGATGTCTCACAGTCCACGTTCCTTCCTGCAATCCCAGATTTCACACCCCAACCCTCAGGTCCGCTCCCTCATCAGCAGGGCCCTGGGGGAACCCTGCCCTGCAGGAGGTCTCTCCCCCAGTGACTCACCTGAACTTGGTCTGCTGGAGCTTGTGGCAGCCGGGGATGTGCTTGAAAACGTCGTTCATCTGCAAGGAGCAAGAGCGATTTTCACAACACATCCCTTGCTGAACAGGGATGTGTTCAGCGAGCAGATGTTGCCGGCAGCAAACACGAGAGCCCTCTGGCCACCCCAGTGTCCTCCCTGCCCCCCCTGCCGCATCAGCCAGAGACCACCACCTAGTTTCTCTCCAAGACATGGCACGAGGCTGCAAACCGCAGCCAAACAGGAGCTTCAGACCACATGCTCTGAAGCAAACCTCAAATCTCGTCAAGATGATGCTTTGATAATTCTCGCGATTGTGATCTTACAATTTGGGGAAAATTTGCTTCTTCCTTTCATGAGCTCTGTAGGTTCACAGGGAAGGGGTGCTCTCCCTTCCCCAGCATCACAGACACCCCCTCAGCACGGTGTCCCCCAGTCCCACCCCGAGCCCCCCTCGTGCCCAGGCTCGTACATTCTCCTCCACTTCCTTGCGCAGCTGCTCGCACTCCCGGGTGTCCGACTTCAGCAGGTTCTGCGTGAAAAGCCGTGTCAGCCTCAGAGACAGCCCGTAGGGAACTGAAAACAGAAATTCCCGAATTAAACTCCTTCTTTCTTGGTCAGAGAAATAATCCAGCCAAAAGCTGGAAGTATGAGGACACGCATGATGTTCAGCGTCCCGATCCTGTACCGCTGGCACCCAAACCTCATAGTACCAGCAGAGAAAACCCTCTGAGAACTGGAGGGCTAACTGGGAAACTCTTTGCCAGATCCAGCTAAGGAAACAGTGCCCAGTGGTGGCTCTGGGCTGATGGGGCAGCAAAATCAAGGCTGGGTCACTGAGCTAATGAGACTAAGACATCCACCATGTGGCCAGGCTGTCAGGAGGTCTCCAAGGCTACCAGCTGTCCTGCTACAGGGCTGGACACAGGAACGTGCTGCTTAGCTTCCCCCAGGATGGAAGCAGATAAAGGAAGACATCCCCCCCTTGCAATTGGGCTTGGAGGTAACACCATGGCTACTGGAGCTGAGGGCCACCACCAAGAGTTTGTGTCCTTTATGGCACTCGGAGCATCTCCTTTATGTGCTGTTCCTGAGGTGTGGCACTCACCGAGATCTTTGGGGTTGGCGGCAGCGAGGGAGGTGAAACCCTGCTGCTTGTGAACATTGTTGTTGATCTTCCAGCGCACGGTGTCCCGACCCTTGAGGGATCCGCTGCGGACCATGGGGGTGTCCAGGTGGTCAGAGGACATGAGGCTATGGCGAAGCATGTAGTGGTCCTCCTTGAAACCAATGGTGCGACCTGCGGAGCCAGGGGCAGTGTCAGAGTCTGGGCAGACTGGGACAATGCCAGCCATCAACTTCCCAACACCAGAGACTTTGTTCTGGGGAATCTTTAGGGCTTCCACAATGCTAAGGGTGTTGGGATGTCAGGAGTGGAGTGGAATGGAGAGGGCAAGGGGTGTCCATGAGCAGGGAGAGCACATCACACCAACTAGGCATTACAAGGGACACTGGTCAGGGGAGAGCCAGCAGTGGGATTCCCAGTAGGACACACCAGGGCATGGGGCAGGGAGGAGCGGTGGAGCAGCAGCTCAAAGGCTCTTTGGCTGATGTTCTCTGTTGGAGGCTTTTCCCCTGATCCACCTCCCCAGCTAAGGGAGGAGGAGGAGGGACGCTTATCCCAGCACACATCCCTCCCCAACCTGGGAAGGCGGTGAACCCCACAGATCCCTCTCCCCCTGGTTCCAAGGGCTGGTACCTCGTGCGCAGCAGGGAAGCAGGGCCAGGCAAGCCTAGAAAACAAATGGCCGAAGACACAATCACTTTGTGGCCAAGGGCAGCCCCCCACCGCATCTCCAGCTGGGAGGATTCACGTCAGCAGGGAGGTGTGGGCGGCAGATGGATGGGGCTCTGGAAGCTGATTTTAGCCAGCTATCCCTTCAGTGGGGGAAATCCCACAGCAACTTGTGTTGGTAACATCAGGGGTGCTGGATACCACTGGAACCCAGCTCCTGCCAATCCAGCCATGCTGGAAACTGGGTGGATTCTGGAAATTTGTCATGTTTTTGACCTTTATCTGCTCCTCTCCCTGGGCTGGGGCAGTCGGCCGAGGCACTCACCTTGCAGCAGGCACAGAACTTCCAGCAGAGCAGCAGCAGCAGCCCCAGGAGCAGGATGAGGAAGATGAGCAGCGGGATGAGCCAGAGGAAGTTCCCCGGCGGGCACTCTGCAAGTGACGGCAATGTCACTCCCGGGCATCAGCCCCCGGCACGGGGTGTGCAGGGAGGGAGCGGGGAGGCAGGGACAGAGGGGAAAGGCTGGACCACAGCTCTTTGAGGGATGGAGCAGCCCAGTTAAGCTTGAGAACTTCTCTCTTGGTGCTCACAATGAAAAGTGCTGTTTAAGGAGAACTATCCCACCTCTCCGCTCACATCCAGCCACTCCAAGGGGCTATTCAGCACCCCACATCTCTCCCTGCCTGCGCCGGCAGTGAAAAGGCACTGATGTCTAAAGATGCTGGTGTCTGAGGGTGCTACTTGCCTACCCTCTGCAGTTCATGTCACCCACCCTGTCACACAGGGAGGTACTGTCTGCAGCTGACCCTGCCCAGGGACACAGCAAAGGGACAAAACGGGGATCAGAGGTGCTGTGGAGCAGGTCTCTGCTGATCCAGACCCCAAACCGGACATCCCCTCCTGTTGGGTCCTTGCTCACCTTTTTTCTTCTGCACACGGACGGTGGTGTTGGGGAGGACGGTGGGGTCTCCCTCCAGGGTGTAGTGGTACGTGCAGTCGTCCTCCTCGTCCTGGAATGAGCAGTACTCGCCAGCCTCCTCTGCCGAGAGAGAGGACACGGGTGCATAGCCATCAGGACCAGGAAAAGCTTGGTGAGCAGCCCCACATGCACACACGCATGGGGCAGGGCCCACGGGAGACATCACACATGTCTGCACCCATCTCTGCCTCTCCCAGCACCTTTCTTCAGCTCTTCCACCATCTGGATCTGGAGGTGGCATGTGCTGCAGTTCCCTTTCATGTTGCCCGTTCCCCAGGTCTGGCAGCGAACACAGTCCCGGATGCTCTCGCACACAGCTTGGAAGCCCTGGGGAGAGAGGCAAGGTGGGACGGTCAGGAGATAGCCCACGGGGAGCGAGGGCGGACATCGCCTCCGAAAGGCAGAGCTGGAGAGGCAACGCTGCGTCCTCATCCCAGTGCCAGGGCAAGGTCAAAAAGAGGAATCACAGAGAACAAGCAGCTAACGAAGGCTTTGTAAGACCAGGGGCCCAGCACAGCCGGCTCCAAAGTCTTTTATACCAACAGCCTGCATTTGGGCAGCGGTTAGATCTTCTCCAAGGGTTTTAGGGGCCTTCCCAAAATACGACCAAGCCATCTTTCTCCACTCCCACTGTAGGATTAGCCCATGTTTGTCAACGGGGAAACTGAGGCACTAGACCATGAAATGTTTTTTTCCAGTCTTGAGGCAAATCAGAACAAGCCAGGAGCTAAGCCTCAAACCTTCGCCCTTCACCAGCGTGCAGATAAACACCAACAGACATTCAACAGTTGCTGCTGGTGAACTGGAGGGCAAAAAAAGCCTGTGGCTGCAAAGCAGCCTCCATACCAGACCCTTCCTGGCCACCAAAGGCAGGACAGGCAAGACTGGCCCCTGCTAAGAATTTTGCTCCTGACGGAGATGTGCCTTCATCTCTGCTTTGCTTTCCCTTCCCTGGAGGAGCTGGATGGGAAGGAGAAGTGACAAACCCAGAGGGGACCCCAGGCTGAACCTCACCAGGGAGTAGCTGATTTCGCAGGTGGAGCTGGTGAACAGCGAAGCTTTGTCACAGATGCATCTGCCGCACTCGCACCTCCCGTGGTTATTGCAAATGCCCTGGGAATGAAGAGGTGACAGTCGGCATCCGAGAGCAATCGTAGACACGCAGCGGCACTGGGAGTCAGCAAGGTGCCAGCTCCCAGTGGCCCTCAGCCTCAGGCATCGGGGCAACTTAGCCCTGCCTGGTCTGGTCATCCCTCGCGCAGGCAGGGCAGGACCTACCCCTCGGCTGTCGATGCAGGTGTCGTTGCTTTTAGGACATTCGCAGCCCGGACCCTCCCAGCCGCTCTCGCACACGCACGCGCCCTTGGAGCAGCGACCGCGATCTGCAACGCCAAGAGGAGATGTTACGCAGGGACCAGTGCCGCCGTCCGGCTCCCTGGCCCTGCCTGCACCTCTCCTGCTTTCTTTGAGGTGCAAAGGGGCTCCAAAGAGACTCCACAGCATCCTCCCTGCACCTTTGCAAGCACAGAGTCCTCACAGCCCATCACCGGTCACTCAACCTGCCCCGTGCCAGTGCCACCAGCCCAGGGATACCCAGCCTGTGCCACCAGGATGGAGCGAGGCAGAGCACATCCCACAGCTGGGGGATGCTGGGGGTGCTGGGGCTGCCCTCACCGTTGCAGAGGAAGCCGGAGGTGCGCGGGCACTGCAGGACGTCGTACTGGCAGAACGCCCCATCAAAGCGCTGCATCAGGTCCTCGGAATAGCACTGGCACTTCCCGCACAGGCACTCGCCCCGGCCCGAGCACGGTTCCACATCCCCGGGGCGAATGCAGGCTTCGTTGTTGGGGGATGACGCTGGGGAGCAGTCGCACACGTCCCCTCGCCTGGTGGGGAGGAGATGGTGCTGAGAGAGGTGGGAGCAGAGCGCAGGACAGCAGGGTCCTGGGCAGGATGCGCAGGGCACGAGTGTGTGTCACTGTGGGTCCCCAGACCCAGCAGGAACCCCGGGAGGTGTAGGGAGCTGGACAAAATCCTTACCAGCCTGGGTGGCAGAGGCACTGTCCGCAGACAAAGTCCCCGTGGAAGCTGCACTTGGGCGAGTTAAATTCTTGTTGCTGTAAAAGAGAGAAGAGGTGTTGCCGAATGGGCTCAGCAGCCTCCAGGACCATTTCAGGAATCAGAAAGGCAGATGGCAGATCTAGGGGCAAAGTTTTGCCCACAAGACCAAGTTCTGCCATAGGATAACATGCCCAGCTTGGTACAGGCAGTGATGAAGATCTCCTTGGCCAGGCTGAGCCTCTGCTCAGCAATGGTGAGGGGTTGAGTGGGACCCACACATGCCGGCCAACGCGTTCCTATTCTAAGGTAGCCAGGAGGAGGACACCTCTCTGCAACATGCACCCCCATGTACCTGTTCACAAGGACACACGTCACAGGTGACAGAGGCGGCGATTTTGAGGCTGTCACTCAGGGACGTGGGTTTCACGTGGATAATTCCCTCCCGGTCTTTCTCAGGGAGGCTGCAGACATGTTGGCCACCAATGTACTCAAGCGCCTTCAGGCGCACATTGAACTTGCCCTAGAAGGAAGGGACATGCCACAAGGGTAAGCCAGTTCTGCTAGACTCGGCCAGACCACCCCTGGGTGAAGAAGGAAGGAGGGATACAGCGGAGGGCTCAGCCCCTCACACACGCCTTCCCTCTGGGGCCATCCAAGGACTTACCACTTCCCCACGGTTGATGTGGAAGGAGCCAGATTCTGTCTTTTCATACATTGAGGAGGTGAACTCTGTCTTCATGGCTTTGGGGACAAAATCAGCCCGGATGTCCATCTTGGAGCGGATGCGCTGGGTGGCGGAAGATAACCACAACGCTGATTTTCAGCAGTATACCTGTGACCACCCCATGGCCTGCCCCGGAGGGGCCACATCGTGCCTCCTGCCCACTCTCCTGGGCAGGAGGTGCCCACCCTCAGCCTTCCCTGGGAGTAAGAGCGAAGCCCCAGAGAGCACCGTTACCTCAAAGGCTGTGCGGAGCAGCTCCACGATGTTGGAGGAGTCCTCCTGGAGCACCCCGATCTCAGAGATGGGGAAATACTTGTGCAGCTTCTGCAGAGAGACAGGAGCCCCCTGAGCCAAGGCCTTGAGAAACCTCCTCTAGCACTGAAGTGGGCTCTGCTTTGAGCAGGGCTTGAACTGGAGACCTCCAAAGGTCCCTTCCAACCTAAGTTACTTTCTGGTTCCACGTCTCCACTGGTTTATAAGAAACAGACACCAACATAGGGAGACCTCTAGGAGTCCAGATCCCCACGCCCCAGTAATACACCCTGAGACCTCCCATGACCCAGCGCAGCTCCTCAACACATGACAGCACTATTACAAAGTGTCAGGGCATTAGTTTAGCACTTGTGGACCAGAGATGGGAGAACACTTTCTCCTCACAGCTGAGCTGCAAGCAGAGGAGCAATGGTCCTGGAGGAAAGGTAAGCCCACGTGGCACTGCTGCCATGGTCTCCTCACCTCGTAGTAACTGTAGGAGTGGTTGGTGACAGCAAAGATGGGGATGATGTTGTGTTGGCCCAACAGGCGCACCAGGGTGGGCACCGAGGGATAGTCCTGCTTGGTGTCATACACATAGGTGCCTTTGGTGTCTAGGTGACACTGCTCATCATTTCGCGCCAGGATCCCTGCCAGGACGTTGGTACCATCAGCTTCATAGTGAAAGGCAGATTCGGTGGAGAACACGAGCAGGTGAGTGCTGTCCTTCCTCCAGCCAATTTTATCCTACAGCCAGGGAGGGGGGAGAAGGAACCTTTATCTCTGTGCCTCCCATACCACTGCACATCACTTGCAGGTGTTGGCAGGCCGGCACTGGTGGGAACTGGAAACCCAAGAGGCAAGGCAACACCTCCACTTGGCAGCAAACACAACCAGCTACGTGTGCCTGGGAATCCAAGCCCAGCAGGTCTCTGCTTCCCCTGTCTGTACCCGCAATGCGTAGGATGTCTCCCAGCAGCTCGGTGCCAGACACATATATATACAGGGGACAAGCCCACGCTTTTCTGGACGTGTTTGGAGCTGTGCTGATCCCTCAGCCAAACGGCCAAGCCCAAGCAGGCTGTTTTCCAGGGAGCAGAGTTTCACCGCTGTGGGCACAAAGGGGAACAGAGCAAAGAGCACGCACAGGGTGCCCAGCAAGCAGCTCCTGGGCTTGGGGTCAAACACCAGAGGTACGCACACAGAGATGGTCTAAGACTTAGGAAAAATTGGGAACACAAAACAACTCAGCACTGGGAGCGTGTGGCTGGGAGGACAAGAATGGGCTGTAGCTCAACGTATAATCCAGGCTCCCTGGCTGTCTCGTTGGCTGCCCAGCACACTGCTCTTTTGCTCATCACCCAGTATCAAGAAGATCCACTCGTTAAAAACAGAGCCCTGCCCACACAGCTCCTGCATCCCTGGCCACCATCACCTTGCAAACAGCTGTCTGCAGGATGGCATCAAAGCCGCCCTCGGGGGCATCCAGGTTGCCGGAGATGCGCTCTTTCCTGAGCTCCTCGCTGAAGTAGTTGATGTTGCTGGTCAGACGGATGACGTTCTTGAAGGAGAAGGGGGAGTCAGCATTGTTCCAGGGCTCGCGCAGCCTAGGAGAGAAGGGGAGAGCAGTTTTTTTGTGGGGGACAGGAGCAAAGGGATGCAGGGGTGCAAGGAGAGGAAGTGTGGGGAGAGCATCTGGGGGCTGGGGAGTCCCTCAAGAGAAGACATGGAGTTGGCAAGCCACCAGCGCTGAAAGTTAGAAGGGACAAGGGCAGAGACGGAGGAGAAGACAAGATGTGCAATCTGTTGTGGCAGAGCAAGGAAGGCCTGAAAGCAGAGGAGGACACTGCTGGCATTGGTGCGGTGCTACAGCAGGCCCTGAGCACAGGGTAGGGAGGCCAAGGGAGACATTGGCAAGAAAGGGAGAGAGATGGAAGGAGGCTCTCACACTGCAGATGGAGAAGATCAGGAAAGCCACAGAGAAACAGAAGGCGCCTGCCCTCCCCTCTGCTCCCATCCCGGGGACCCGTTGACCCCACTCACTTCTCAGGTCTCATGTCTGTCTGAGGGGATGAGACTTTGTCCACAAACTTGCCGAATCCAATGGTGTAATTGGAGGTCAGGTCTTGCAGGAACTCCGCTGGGAGGGGGAAGGAAGGGAGGAAGGGACACGTGAATAAAGAGATGCCTGTGAGGCTGCTGCTGCAGGGAAAAAAGTCCTTTCCTGGGCACCTTCTCTGTTGGTCAGGTCTTTGATAGAACTCTCATAAGCTCCCAAACTGTCAGCTTTTAAGGTTTTTGGGCTTGGGGCTTGTCTTTTGGGGTAGAAACCTGTACCACCTTTGGTAGCCCCTTTCCAAGACTGGAGGTTCTGGAATAGCACACACCACACCTATAGGTTCAAGATGCCAAAGCCACTGCACAGATCAGTTCTGCAGGGCAGCAGCCCCCACGCTGGGCTGAAAGGAGAGAGCACACATGGTGATCTCTGCAGGGCCAGGAGAGACATCCCCCCATAAAGCTGTGCGAAGCAGTGATAATAAGAAACTCTAATTAAAACAGACACCTCTCAGCCCTTGGCCAGGCGCATCCCTTTCTCTGGTGCTGGCAGAGAACTCACAGCCGTGGGCAGGAGTGGGTTGCCTGCCCTTGTCAGCACAGGAGCTGGCTCCCCTCTTCTCCCAGCTCTGGTCTCACCTAGTTTTTGGCCCATGTTTTTGAGGTTGGCCAGGTCATCAGACATAGAGTAGGAGAAGTCCATGAGGATGTAGAGATCCAGAGGGCTCTCCAAGGGCTGGAAGACATCCATGTTGAAGTTCATCTCCTCCCCGGCTCGCAGTCGCACAACCATGCCCTGGGGGGACACCTGGGTCCTCTGCAGGGATGTGTTGATACTGAAATTCTGTGAAGGAAGAGTAAGGTGAAGGGGATGGACTCCATCTCCTGCACAGATGCAATGAGGAGGAGGCAAGAAGCAGGGAGATCCGTGGGAAGTGGAAAGGCAGGGATGATCATGCTCCCTTCCCACACATACAGCCAGGGACTAAGGCAAGCTCCACGATGGCCACACATGCCCAGCTGGGCGCCTCCTCCACACCTTGGCATTTTGCTTACATCTGTTTTGCCAGAAAAGCCACCCCCGCCCTAAGCCATCAGGGCTGGTTGCCAACAGGTTCATCAGCTAGCGAAGGCAGAGCATCGTTTTTGAGTAGACCCGACTTAAACAGAGGTCTGGACTTTCTATTTTTCCTGCTAACGTCTGTAGGGGAGGATGGAGGACATGAAGGACACTGGGAATGGTTGGACCCCTCAAGAGAAGCCGAGCAAGGGCTGTCTCCCCAGCACCCACCTGCTGGGTCCGCATCTCGCCGCTGGTGTACACGATGTTGCCCTCCTTGCAGCCGTACCGCAGCAAGTTCTCCCGCAAGTCGCAACGAGGCTCTTCAAAGCTCTGCCAAGGGGGCGAGAGCAACATTAGAACCACAGAAAGCCGCAAATCCTCCGTGTAAGGGGGAAAGGCTCTTGTCAGGGTCCTCTGCTGAGACCACTAGCGAGCCTTTGGGAGCAGGAGTGGGGCAGAGAGACGGGGACGAGTCTCTCACAGAAGAGCCAGTGTCACCCAGCAGCCGGGAAATACAACCACCAGTGAATTACTGGCTTGTCTGCGATAAGACTCTCCCTCCATCCCTTGCGCACACTGTTTCAAATCTAGCACACTGGCATTTTCTGTTAAAACCCTATATTCCTGCAAGTTTGCCCCGGACTCCCCTTCCTCCCCATTTGCCCACACCAAGGGAAACCCACATTTCGGCACTTCCCATCCAGACCAGCTCTTTGCAGAGAGCAGCTGGAGCAAGAAGCTGACCCTGCCCTCAGGTTCTTCTCCCAGCTTTCTCCGGGGGTGGTGGGATCCCTCCATCAGCGGGGTGGGAAGCAGAGCACCGGGCTCCCCTGCAAGGTCTCACCTCATCGGTGCAGAAGGAGCAGTCCTTGTCTACTCGGATGCACTCAGTGCAGCTCTTGGCCCGGGACAGCACGCAGCGGTTATCTACCGGGAAAGATCAGGGCATCAGGAATGGAGAAAACACAGGGAGCCATGGGAGGGCATGAGAAATGCTGATCCCAATCCTGGGGGAGTTGGTGGAGGCTTTGCCTGGGTGGTTAGCAGCAGCTGGCTACGGGACAGCAGTGGGGTAGAAAGAGAGGGGTCCCAAATACCAGGGAGACAGAAAACAGGAGGAAAGGCACACAACAGGTCTTATCCACGAGGACATGCATTTCTGGAGCTCAGGAGGGGTGCGCACAGTCCCTGCGGGGCAGCATCAAGGGGAGACCACAGGTGGACCTACCACGGCCGCACTCACTTTTGCTCCTTTGGCAGAGGCCGGTGGCACAGAGCAGGGACAGGAGGAGCAGCCCGGCACACAGCCGTGGAAGCACATCCATCCTCTTCCTCCTGAAACACATGGATCACTACGTTGCGGAGTGCTGAGCGATGGGGATGATCACGGGGACGATAGGGGCAGCTCCTGCAGAGCCCCTGGGACAGCCCCGCCGGGGTGGGACAGCCCTGCCTGCCGATGCCTGGAAGCAATCTCTGATCTCAGCAGGGCAGGGCACAAAAGCAAAACCAAGAGCGGCTTGTCCTCTGCTTGGGCATGTGCAAAAGGCTCAAAGTCCCCTGCAAATGCCAGGGCAGGCAGCTGCCACGCTACAGCACCCCTGCACCCCGGAGTCAGGGTGCCCGGTTTGACGGGTGCCCTGGGGCAGAGGGGTCGGTGCAGGCTGTCGGGCAGCCAGAGAAAGTGCTGTCCACACGTGTGAGCACCGACTAGGTCAAGACCTTGCTTTTCCTGGCAGGTTAAGGAAAAAAAGAGCGGAGGAAAACAAAGCGACTGTCTAGATCTCTCCCCAAAAGCAAAACAGACCCCTCCCTTTGGCTATTTCCTATCACATGAAGAGTTTCCAGGATGGTTGAACCAACAATAAATAGAGGGTGAGGCCTTGGGAAATGCCGAGCTTCAAGGTTTGGAGCTGTTGGATGAATCCACGGTCTTGAGAGCCCAGCAGCTCCCCTCTGCCCTGTCCAGGGCAGCAGGACCCCTCACAGAATCACAGAGTGGTCAGGGTTGGAAGGGACCTCTGGAGATCATCTAGTCCAACCCCCCCGCCAGAGCAGGGTCACCTACAACAGGTGGCACAGGACAGCGTCCAGGCGGGTTTTGAATGTCTCCAGAGTGGGAGACTCCACAACCTCTCTGGGCAGCCTGTTCCAGTGCTCCACTACCCCTCATGTGGATCCAGAGGCCAAATCCTAAACAGAGTGAACCATTGTCCCTGCACCCACCCATGATTTATTAGCTGGCTGTCAGAAAACTGTAAGGGCCATCCAGAAGTTGGCATTTGGACTTGGTAAACAGAAGAGACAAATCTGGAACTCGAGCTCTGCGGCTGCAGTACTGGAGGGTGGCCCTGACTCCAGCACCCCAGCGGGGCAAGTGAGGACAGCTGAGGCAAAACATCTAAGGTAAAGACATCTTTAAAGCATCTCCTTTCTGGGACATGCAAGTGTGAAATATCAGATGCAAATGAAATGTCTTATAGCTTCTTGCTCTCTAAGTCCCGACTCCAAAATAAATGAAAAGAATGTGAAAACCACTTAAAACAGGGAAGGAAAATGGGAATAGTTGTTGTGTGAAGATGAGTTCCCAGGGGGAGATCCAGCACACAGACAGTCACTCAGTGACTTAGCTACTAACAGCCTGACCTGGGGCCCAGGGAAACCCCTGGAAAGACTCGCTCTAATATCAACAGCGTTGGATCACACTGTGTCCTGCATCGGTCACTGAAGCAATGGAAGTACATCACACGTGTGAAGCTGAGCACTCACAGAAATCATTGCAGCACAGGGCATGAACCAACATAGCATCGACACCGGGGGACATCTCCCTTGGTGTTCGCAGTTTGTTCTCAGTGACAGTCACTGGATACACAGGTAACAGATGACAAGATATTTGTGTCTCATTTATCTTGTCAGCTGTGCCCAGAGGGATTTATCACACAGAAGTTAATCCTCCATAGCTGAAATGTGAGAAATATGGAAACCTCAGGGCAGCACCTCTGTGGGGGACACCCAGAGAAACTTTGCTGTTCATAAGGACCTGGTAGCCAATATGATGTTTTTCTTTCGGGTAAAAGGTACCAGTTGACCAAGGAAATCCCTGTTATTTTCCTCCTGTGGCCCCTGAGCACAGCTCCCTGCAACACCGACCGTCCCCAGCTCAGGCTCTTCGCAGGTTTGGCTTGAGGATGTCCCCCTTGCCAAGCCCCAGCACTGGCTCTGAGGTCAGCAGTTATCCTCATCCCTGGACATGCCCATGATCTCCTTCAGCAAAAGTCCTCATGTCACTACTTGCTGACAAACATTGCGTCCCTCGCCACTGAGATGGGTGGGTTTTGAAGCCAGGAAAATCCCTTTTTCCCTTGCTCCACCCCAGCGAGCGATGCCAGCCGCAGTGACCGGCACTACAGAGACATGGGGAGATGCCAGTTAGAGATGAGATGAAAGGGTAGGGAAGTCCTTTGAGCCGATCAAGGGTAAACACAATAAAAACATCCCCCGAGCACTCAGCAAATCCCATCTCCCATCACGGCAAAGGCCACGAGGAAAAGATTGAATACAAGGGACCATGTTACTCAACTCACACACCCATCTTCCAAGGTAGCCTCAGAGCACAGACTTAATTCATCTTCCTTTAATTACAAGTCAAGAAAGAGTAACCAAGGGATGGACAGACACACCCTGGGCCTTGGACATATAAACTGCTGTCGTGTCTTTTCAAGTACTGAGATAAAAAGCCATAAAACACAGCTCAATATTAACATCATGTTGCCCTGTGAGCCTCCAACCTCCAAGGATTTAGCTGTGCAGTTGCCAGCATGCAGGGCGTTGGTGGCCTCGAGCGTTGCTGCTGCTGGCCACCGGAATGCAGCCCGTAATATTTGTGCAAAAATACGCAAGCAGCCATCCCTTAATGTCAAAAGTGTCCTCTAGAAGGGAAAATGCCACTTGCGCTTCAAAAAAGCTGCAAGAGTTTGGTTGGATTTTCATTATGACAACAACAACAAAGCCGGTCAGTCGTGCAAAACCAAGGAACGAAGCATAGCAGCTCCTGGCTGCACACAAACATCCTACCCCGTCCCAAACCACCGCTCCGGCATTTCCTCCTGGTCTCCTCCCTCTCCCCCAGCCTTTGCCTGTGCCTGGGCACAGCCAACAAACCTGCTCCTGAAAGACCCCAGGACCCATCGAGCTTGCTGGGCTGAGCAGCTCATCCCCCCAAAACATGGGATGCTCCAAAGAAACTGCTGGAGCAATGAGACAAGGGACAGGGCTGGAGTGGCAGAGCTCTGTCACCCTGTCCCCTCCCCGTGCCGCCCCAACGCCAGCAGCTCTGTGCTGGGAAGGACGAGCCTGATGCCGGGCATCGCGCTGGGGTGGGTGAGGGAGAGGAACCGAGGAGGAGGAATGATTAGCAACAAGCCCATGGTGGGACCCTGGTCCCAGCTGCCACATGGGGGACACCCAGCAGGCTGGGGACACAGGAGTGGGAAAGTCAGGGAGATGCTTGAGCTCCCCAGCACAGCCTTTCCTCCCTCTGCAGTGGGCATCGCCCTTCGAGTAGCTGCAGACCCCCCGTCCTGCCAAGGGGTGCTTTGGGGCCATGCCTGATGGAGCAGGACGCTGACGCCCTGGTAGGTGGGAGGCATCTGGAGGAGCATCTGCTTGTCCATGTGTGCCAGGGCCAGCCCCACAGGCTGGGGGTCCCGAGGGAGAGCTACTAGTGATGGAGGCAGAGCAGAAAGGCAGATGGGTGCCTCCCCCGGGGACCCTGGTCCTGCAGCCCCACAGACAGCATCGTGACAGCCACAGCAGCTCGTGCGGGCTCAGTTCTCCTCCCAGGGCAGGGCTGCAGCCATATGGGTCCTGGCCACAACTCACACTCCGTCCCTCCTCCCCGGGCTACTCCCGCCCCAGCACACGCGGCAGCACAGAGGTCCCAGTGGCCCTGCTCCAAAACTTGGAAATTATCAACCCGGACTTTCAGAAAACTATCAAAAACTTGACTCGCAAATCAGAGCATCACTTAAACACAAAATAATATTTGTTTTTGATTTTGTATGTCTTCCCCGTCCATTTCCCCTCCTTCCCCAGGTGTGCCTCCGCAGCCGGCAGGCTCCGTTCGAGCAGCACCATTTGTTGTTTCCAGCAAGAAGAGGGACCTCAGGTCCCCAGTTGAGCTCCAGACCCCAGACACGGCCCCCGGCATCCTCCAGCGAAGGACAAAACACAGTGAGACCCAGACCGGGGACCCACACGGAGCTGCCGGCAAAGGACCAGTGGCTGCGGTCTCCTCTCTGCCCCCCGGCCTGGGCAGGGGGCAATCCCGAGGGGTGGGCAGGGGGCAATCCCGAGGGGCAGGCGGGAAGGTCAGGACCGTGCCGATCACCGGCACAGCCCCAGGACCCCCCCGTCCCTCCTGACGTGCTGCTCCCGGCACATTCCCTACTCCTTTGGCCCCACGAGACACCTCTCCTCTCCCTCCCCTCCACGGGCACTCCTCATCCCCTTTTTCCCTCCTCCTAACACCCCCACCCCCCCTTCAGCTCCCTCACGCAGTCCCTCTATTTCCCTAGTGCCCATCCATTTCGGATCCACCAGCTCGCAAATACCCCGACACCTGCGGTTCCCCAAAGCCCACCCTGAACCCCCACTCCCCCGTGGCCTTTTCCTCCGGGGACACCCCATCCCCTCGCGGTGGGGTTTACACGCAGTCACCCACTCTGCGGAGCAGTCCCCCCCGGGTTCAGCGAGCCGGGGCCACCCACAGCCCAGCCGGCCTAGGGCAGATCCACCCAGAGGGACACCTTCGAAACCCGCAACAAACGGTCCCCGAAGGGCTCCGCGCTGCCTCACCGCGCTGCGGTGCCCCCACCTCCATCCCACAGCCTCCCCCCCACCCAAATACCTTCAGAGAGAGAAACGGCCCCACGCAGCCCTGCTCGGGCACCAGCGCTGCCCTTCCCGGCGGCCGAGAGGCACGAGACGGTGTCCCACAGCCAAAACCGGAGGAAAAGGGGGGAAGAAGCCAGCGGGGAGCTGAGCTCCCTCTCTCCACGCTCTGCCTACCTGCTGGCACAAGGAGCCCCGCACCTTCTTTCACCCCCCTGGTTAATCGACACAGCGAAATTAAGGCATGCCGGACGCTATGGAGCGCAGATGAATTAATTCCACAAACCTCATTAGCGCTGGGTCTGACTCAGTGTCAAAATCCTCCGCCGCAGCCCGAATAACAGGCGCCCACGCGCCAAGCCAAGAAATTCTTCCGAAGGCAGAGGGGGAACGCGCTGCTTCGCTGCCGCGACTTGATTTCCAGCCTTGGCCTTTTCTTTCTT